TAATATTTCAGATTGATTGCGTTGAAAGTCCGAAAACCATATCGGCACAGAATTATGACTTCTGAAATTAATTCATTTAAATGAATATATATAATAGTTCAACATCTTAACATTCAGACTGTAATTCGTATTTAAAGTAATGTATTTAACATAAACGGTCTTGTTTCTTAACCTTATTAATTAAAAAAATTGTACCGTAAAAATATATCATGAGAGAGAGAGAAAGAAAATTCCATTTTATTTAAGTTAAAAGAAACATAAAAAGAACGTAAATATGAACAATAAATGTTACATACATAAATTTCTTATTTTTAATTAATAAATTAATTGCTTTTATGTATATTTTATATTAATACGTTCCCTTTATTATACAACTAGAGTATATATTTTGTATACAAGTTTTAAAATAACTATAGAATTTCATGTAATTACTACTTTATAAGTAATTTATTTAAGCTTTTACATGTATAAAAAATGTTTTTTATATGAAATTCAATCCATTTTTTATGAATTTAAAATATGGATTCGGATAGATTAAAAAATTTCAATCTATTTTAATTTTTATTATTTTATTATTTTTCGATTCAACTTGATTCAAAAATTGCGTTTTCTATTTGGAATTTTAAGTAAAGTAAGTGTACGTAACGTTTTACTTAATAATTTTGCCTAATAAACTTAATGTTTTAATTAATGTATGTAACGTTTTTTCTTGATGTACATAATATTTTATTTGAAATTAAAAATCTCTCTTCATGAAAATAAAAATCGGAGCGTAAGTCAAATGTAATGGGAGAGTAACAGAAGCGTAAACGAAACTTGTAGAAGGCGAAAATTAAAACAATGAAATGTAAAAAAGGCATTTATGCTTCTTTTTTTTTGATGTTTTAATTTTTGCCTCCTAGAAATTTCGTTTATGCTTCTGTTACTCTTTCATTACATTCAATTTACGTTCTGATTTTTATTTTCATCAGGGTGTTTTATTTGGTTATTTAAGTTTGGTTGTCGCTCCAGCACACACACACCATCCCCTTAAGGGGATCCTAAAACCATCTGTATTATCGATTAAATCATATAATTTTTGTATAATAAATACTTTTTTTCTCTTTCATAGATTCGAAAATCTTTTTTTAGGATTAAAGTATCCGCGTTTGTAAGAGTTAGAGAGTTAGTATAGAGTTTATAAAAATAACCAAAAGTTTCGAAATTGATATATTTTTTATCATTTCTTAGTGCACTGTAAAAAATACTCAGATTCGAATAGAAAGAACTAAATCTGAGAGTTACGCGATTTCAGTTAAGTGAAGTATAATCTTAAGTCAAAAAGAATAAAAACCTAGTTAGATAAATAATTACACTAGTAGTTAGATGAATACTTTCACGTAGTAAAGTGTACTAAAAAATTTAATCAAAGTATGTGATTAATCGATCTAAAATAAGATTATGCAATAATATTAGAAATTTATGCAACTATCACAAGAGTGATTTAATTACGTAATTCTAATAAATCTGCCTCTTTATGGAGATTAAACCAATCATACAGGAAAGTAAATTGAAAACTAATTATTTACGTAATTCATTAATGGGACGGCATAATTATAAGCGCATTTGTAAAGTTGAATGAATCATTATTAGTACTAAATGAACATGAATATAACGTAAATGTAACATGACTTAAAAGTAATAAGAATTTAATAAAATATTAAATTAATATAAAAAATATTCATACTTTGATTTAGAATGGAGCTATTAACAGATGACGCGTGTATTCGTAAGAGAGATTCGATGTCTATCTATATAAAACAAGAATCAAATAATCTTTTTATACACTTCTTGCCACATCATGGCGACGAACATTTTTTTCAAAGCAACTACTAATCAATCGATCTATATGACAGAAGATTTTAATTATTAATTAAATCATTTTATAAAATAACGGAATCAAATAAATTTAATGAATTGTCCTATTAGATAAATTATTAAATCTACTTCACTCAAAAACAAACTAGAGATTACTTCAAAATTACTATCAACATTTATTGAGTTTTTGTTACTTTGTAGAATAATTCAGTCTAATGTTAAAATCAATCTATTTTATTACAGATTTATTTCATCGCACTTACAAAATTATTTTAATTAACGATACAATTGTGTTTGGTTACTACCAATAATAGTTTAGTCAACTATTTAAATATTTTATAGAACTAAATTTAATATTTATTTAACACAAAGAAGATATTAAAAAAACGTTAAAATGTTTTTCGATGCAACCCAACAGTTAGTTCGTTATATTTATACTTAACCCTAAGATTGTTTATCTCAATTCGAGTTGAATTCCCCAATCTTTTTTTACAGTGTGTAACATAGCGTTTCAAGCGTGTTTGTGACAATATTTATTTGATACGAAAGTTTTGCAACTTATACTTACGAAATAGTCCACAAACACGTAGTTTGCACGAACAAATAACGCCGAGTTTTTAGAATTAAACTTAGACGCTTTATCGTGATGAATTCGTAATACGAAAATTGACATGAAAGTGCGACAATTTGAATTATAAGTTACGTGAGATATTGGTGTGGCAGTATAT